CGTGTATCAAGACTAACCAATTGTCTTGACAATCTGACACTGTAAAATGTGATTTCAATCTTTACATATTGTAACCTGTAAAACCTACAAACGTCTATGCTCTGTGTCTTTTGTAAGATAAACATATTCTATGCAGTCCAGGGGTAATCCCAGCCTTTATTGAATGACCTCAGGTCAACCTATACTCGCAGTTTTGATGTTTGAGGTGAGGCAGGAAACAACCCAGAGGGAAAGGAGGAGAAAAGGCGCAGAGGGGGAGCAGCTGCTCTTAGTGGATCTGAATCGTATTCATCACGTACGATTTGGAAGTGAAGTCAAATGAGTGAGCTAAATTCTGACTTGCTCTTATTCAAGTATAGCAGGTGCTCTGTCTTCTGCAGTTAATTATGGCTGAAGGCGTTATTAGTTCATGCTGTATCCATGTCTTGTCGGTACACACAGAACATCAGATGTTTGTCAAGGCAGGAATGTAATATTGTGTGTAATACCAGAGAATTTGGATTATTATCATAATGTAGTTGCATATTTTTGGGGGGAGAAATGATTTTGCCTGTTGAGCATGACTTTGGAAAAAATCCCCAGAATTGATTTGGGGAGCACAAGAAACATCCTTTTTGAGATGTTATTCCGCTGCATAAAAAAAAACGATTGACAGCACAGATATGAAACATTTATGTTTTAATTTCAGGCCTGTTCCGTTGATATCGCAAACGCACACCTGTGGACCCGCTCACACTCTGAAGTTGGGAGAAGCTGTGGGCTTTGATAAGCCTCTTTCCTTTTTAGCTTAAACACCACATCATCATGCTAGTGTAGATATGTCTTTAGAGAGAGGAAGAGCGTTTACCCAGGAGCCGCATTAATATATGAAATCCTTTTGTAAGATGTGAACTTAAGATATATGCTGTTTCTTTGCCCTGATCTCCCACAGTCGCATGCAGAAGCAGCCCTTAGAGACCCCGTAGTAAAAGGCTGTGGAAGATAAAAGATGATGATGGTGGGGGGGGTTCCTTTTTTCTGTACTCATTTGTTACATTGACATATCAGGTTGTATGATGTCTGGAGGAAATCCAGTTTTTGTTCTGTGTAAGACCGTGTTTGATCATGTTACAAAGGTGTGTATCCGAACTATTCATTTGAAAAATGTCTTTTTGCGGTCATGTAAAAAGGGGAATAAGGTGAGCACATAGCCAACAGTGCTTCAAAGGAGAAACCATTTTTTGCTTCAGCATGTTGAGAAGGCTCTTGACACTGAGGACGGCGTTGTGCGATACTTCAGCAGTAGTGCATTTTTAGAATTTCACTATCTGTGCCCTTGTGCTGAACTGTGTAAACTCTGTTAGATACTTAAGATTTATCTGAGATACCCATTGGAAAAAAAGCACACATGTTGTAATTGCAGAGCCCTTTGAAAAAGACATCACATCAGGGGATTGCCGGTGCATTATACAGTACAAATACAGTTACCTCTATAGATGGTGGTTGCAGTCATTGATTCTGCCCCCCACAATCAATCAAAGTTAAGGCTATTTCTATGTTAAATCTTTTTTTTAAAGTCCCAATGACCTTTCTCTGTAGGACAATAATAAACAAAAGGTGAATTGTTTCACTGCTTAATTGTGCTAGTTTCCCCTGTTTGTGCAGATAATCTGGCAACCAATAAAACCAATGTTTAGAGGTGGAGCACATTGATATTCAGTGCAGACTATTCATTCAGCTTCAAGTCAGGTTTCTTAATATTTATGTGCTGTTAACTTTGTATGCGCCGCTTGTGATGTTTCAATGATGAAGATATTTCCTAGAGGGGTATTAATAGAGTGCTTTTACTGCTACTACATGATAACCACACAGCTACAGCTGATGGGCCCAGCTTCAGTTATGTACATCTTGTATTAGTTTCTGAATATTTTATGATGTGATTTTACTTACCTTGTGTTTTAATGCTGTCATGTACCTTTTGTAGACATGTCCCAGCCCAAATAGCGTAGGCATTTCAAAAAAGCACAGATAAAATGCCTGTAGTTGTAGCTTTCAGATCACTTATAGTAGAGAATTTAAAAAAAGTTAAAGCAATAGCACATTAAGAAGTGTTTTCTCCCTCCAAATATTACCAGAAAAAAACATTAAAAAAAAAGAAAAATGGACAAAATATTAGAGTTCCTATTTTGTTTTAATAGAGATGGGTGGAAGGCTTCAGGGGAGTAACATTTTGGAATCACTTTTTGTGGAATCGCAGAAACAAGTGCCCTCCCCAGGTCTGGTTGACTGATCCCAAACCTGGTGTGTTACATCACAAATATGTTAGAAGAAGGGAGCATGAGGTACAACTGAGAAAACATAATCCCTGGTTCATGGTACGGTTTTACAGTGCATAATTATAGCGCATAATTTAGCTCCTGGCCATAAGTCTGCAGGCAGGCATGCATATAAATGTGTAAACTGAAGGGAAACAATTGCTACATCTCTCCTCCTCCATAATTTCAAATCTCTCAAAGGAGTCATTCATCATAAGTTGTGACCTAAAAAGGTGCTGCTACAGCGTTTCTCAGAAGGATTGGTTTGTAAGTCCTCGTTGCCTAATTTGGTTGCTTTGCTCGGAGAACGTTTTTAAACAGTTTGCAGTTTCCTCGTTTTTAACACAGGTCTGTGCACATAATTGTCCCTGTTTGATAATTGTTGTATTTTAAACTGACAACTGAAATGACCTACACTGCTGCTGCTGCATTAAAATCTCTGTATTGGTGGAACAGGGAGCTTCCTTGTGAATAGAAATTCTCAGCAGGCCAGAAAAATAATTAGTTTATACAGTTTGATGAAATGAGGTTTGATATGTTTCGTAAAAGCTTAAAAAGTGCGATACATTACCAAGTGTAGGATGTTGGTATTCACAGCATAATGTGTTGTCTTTGCTCAAATAGGGTGCACAAAATAATTGAGTTTGAATTGGTTATGCCTGGGGCTAAGTGCTAAAACAAATCTTTAAATGAAATTCATTACAAGCAGGGTTGCCATTCACAGGTGTTATTGAATTCATTTCTCATTTTGACCTGATTTAGAAAGATAACCGTAATAACTGAGACTGACAGAAGAGATGACAATGACATTGCGCATCATGGTTTCCCCTCAAACACATTAAAACGTACTCAGTCTCATTGGCTTAATTGATCCGTGCAGATGGTGTGCTTTTGTTTTTATGTTCCTCGAGTCATTTTCTTTTCATCGTTTTTCACAGTGGGGAGAGATATCTTGTTCTTAAATAAATCCATCTGTGCTGAAGGAGTTACTTAAATTAATGCAGATTTGATACATCAATTGTAAAGAGTTCATTATAGCACATGAAACTACGGCACAGCTTGAAAAGGATTTCTTGCTGAAAAACAAATCAGTAAGATACAAAAAACAGACAAATGTTTTGGGGAGTACTTTTTTCCTTCCTACCCATTGTCCAGGCAAGGACAAACAAGGACAACATCGCCATGCAAAATATTTTCTCCTTATTTTTAAGTGAAAGGTTGATGTGACCCCCCCCCACACACACACACACACACACCCTCCCACCAGTGAAATTAACGAGGAAAATTAAGCTAATGAGATAACAAGCACAAGACGGAGAAACAGGCTCATCTGACGCATCCTCTTGGTTATTTGGCAATATCTGGAGGCGTCAACGGCCTCAGACTCTCATTTTCTCCCTGTCATATTTAATCAGAGATTCCCGCCTAAAATAAAAGCAAGTCTCTGCGACGACCATGACCAGCAGAAAGATGGTGTGGCCGGCCTACACTCTTCATTTTTTCTTCTTTAAGCAGTTCTGTAACTGTCTTTAATACAAATCAGTTGGCAGCACTTGTTCTTAATTTGGAAGCACCAATAGTTTTTGGCCTGAGGTCTAATTCACACATAGTAATAAGCAGTAATTAATATGTGTTTTCCTTAAGTGCATTGCCCAATGTAATGAGTGTTGTGCCTAGAATGTGTCATTGAGCTTCATCAATTGTAGAACAATTTCTCCCGTTAGTAATGAGGTCAGAGATGTTTGCCAGCTGCCTTCAAATCCTCATAATGACACATTTTCTTCTGTCATTAGTCGATGCTGGAGATAAAAATACTCTATGCAGTGAGAAAACGTACTTAACTTGAAATAGTTGGCAGTATGAATGAAAAGGGACAAGGATATCCATCAGGAAGTTTGACTGATTTGCTGTCAGAGAAAGAATGGATATATTGACTAATACAGTCTAAGCATTAAACGGTAGTTTACACATGAACCGGTCTGTGGGATCATACGCTGAATTAGAAAAAGATTTAATAGTAACAAACTACAACATGACTACTATCATATTTAAGAAAACATTTAGCCTGAGTTGTTGTTGTTGCATCCAAGTTATTAACCCTGTGGCCAAGAAATAGTGGAAACAGTTCAGAAAGAAGATGGTAGGATACTATAGGCAACTTCTAACCATGACCTGTCCATCCTGTAGTGACGATCATGTAGCCTAACCTTACCTTAAGGAGGGAAAGAGTGAAAAAAAATAATAAATCAGGTTCACAGCAGACCCATTGTGTTTCAAGAATCCCCCCCTGTCAAGTTCTTACTTCCACTTTTTTGGGTCATTCATGTGCACTAAATTTGTAATTGCAATAATTTTGAACACTCTTGAGTGCAGCTTTGCTTTCTGAAAATGCGGCTCAAATTCAAAAGCAGACTGTATCACCACGGGCTGATTATGCAGCTTTTGTAAATCTTAATTGCTCGGATAAATTGTTATCATTGTGAGTTGAAAAAAAAAAAAAGAAAAGACATTTTGATACATTGAGTTCTGAATATGTGTTATTTCGGTTTTAAAATACTAGAATGTATTCCTAGCGAGAGAGGATTTAAATGTGACTGTGTGAATGGCTCTCTTTGTTAAATATTTTCCATCACCTGTTCATTCCTTTCTCCTCCTTAGAATACCGCAGCATTCTTTTAACCACTGCTTTTCTTTTCTTGTTCCCAGATTGATCCTAAGGTTGCCTTTCCCCGTCGCGCCCAGCCTAAGGTAAGAATAAATTGGTCACTAACCCTGCTCAAAGAAAATGATTATGTCTCATGTCACTAGCTTACCTAATTTTGTTTGCTCGCGCAGCAGATACAAAGAGGCAGCAGTTGTCTGTTTGTTATTGGAGAGAAATACCAAGTCTGGCTCCATTGTTCTCTCATTGTCTGTGCTGTTTCCCCGAAGCAATTAAAGTTGGACACATAAGACTTAAAGGACATTTTCAACATGATTGAGGTCATGTAGTTTTTTTTTCTCCTACCTTACTGTTTTATATTAGATTTTTTTACCTACTGCTTTGATGCTTATATTTGCATTTCATCCCTCATTATATATATTTTTTAAGTAAAATGTTTTTAAGGGAATTCTGAAGTCTTTTTTGTGCTATATTGATAGGATTAGCAGATGATGCCAATCCTAGACTGCAAGAGTATGAAATGAATCTTAATTGTCTGTTTAATGCAGCTGAGTGGAACCATCTTTTTTCCCTAAACAATATTGGTTTCTTGGAGTCCTGCCTTGCTTGAAAATTGCATGTTTGTATGAGCGAGAGCATTGGCTTTTAGAGCCAGACTGATAAAGAAGCTTTATCACTAATAAGGACATGTGGGAACATTCATTGATTACAGATATGATAGAAAATAGAAGGAAAATAATTTTAATGAAAGTAGACCTTTTTATGTTTGGATTTCGCCCCATGCAAATTCATTCAGAACCGCTATTTCTTAAAAAGATAACTTTAAAAGAAAAACATCATTGAGTTATTGTTCACCAGGTATAGTCCCAGGAATCTTAAAGAAGAGATTTTTAATCTCAATGAGTTTTGTCCTGGTTAAATGAAAAAAAACAAAAAAAACATGGGTGCGCCAGCGGTCTGCTCAGCTGTGATGCTTAGCTACATAAACTGCAGACAGTGCTGGAAGTATTTAAAGTTATGAAGTTAGTGTGCTGTGTCATGAAATGTGATTACATCATTTCAATATCAACAAACTCAACGTTTTTCTGCATTGTTTTTTGTGTGAAATAATATCGGTGCTTATTATAAAAACATGTACATCGGTATTGATACATCTGATTGGCCCATATCGGCCCATTATTATATACCAAACTGTATATCTCTGGGGCTCTTTGGTTTGGTCTGACTGAATATTTAAGAATTGATTGATTACTTTTCATGACGTGATGAATGACATTCATTAACCGGGTATGGGTCTGTTAAGTTGTATTGAAGTTGAATGGGTTGAACGACGTAAGTGATTTAGACATTTCTTTTCAACTGTGGTGCATCATGCATGTAGAAATGTCACGATTAGCCTTGAAACAATATGTGATTGAAATAAAAAAAGCCAAACTCCAATCAAGCAGGAACTGTTCTCTGCGCTCTTCATAACATATATTATCTTTTCCCTTTTCTTGATTACTAGTCTTGAGCATTTCTATTGACAATTAAATATTAAGCTTGAGCAGATGGTACTCTGGTGTAGTCAAGGGCTTTGTTGACATGTCCCCTCAAACCATCCTCCAGCTTTAGTGTGCAGGCTACAGCCCCGCACAGTACAGTGAAGAACTATTCAGCACCACTATCAGGGCTTTTTCCACCTAAACCAGGTGGAAATCGATAATAGATTTTCTCCTTCCCACCGGATCAGAGAGAGGCATTGTTAAAGACTTGGTCAGGTTTCAAATGAAGAATTGGCAGTGCAGGCTTTCAAAGCCCGAGCACATGGTGACTTAAGGATATCGGCATATGGTTGAGAAACTACCAGCGTTTCTCCACACTTTCTTACATGGCAAATGTAACACTTGAACTTTTTTCTGTTCTGACTCGGCCTCATAAAGGGTGCAATAAAACATCTCAGATGCTTCCAATTTTCAAGTGAACAAGAAACTCCTCTTACTGCCGTGCTTATTGTTAATCTTTTTTAAACAGTGTTATATTTTTTTTTTTTTAGCAATGACTCAGAGAAGAAAATATTTGTGGTTCTACCTCACGTGATTCATAACTCAGGGTAATAATAACACTGTAACAGAATCTGTGGCTGTGTCTTGTAGCAATGATTTATAAAATGCTATAGGGCAAGCTTGTTAGGAAAGAAAAATGGTTGTATTGAATGTGGATTATAAAGGATCTTAAAGCAATGGGATTAGGCCAGATAGATTAACATTGCATGGGTTTGTACTTTCTGTTCAATTGATTTAAGACCTTTAAAAGAAGTCCCATTCTCAGGTCCCCATTTAGAAAGTCCTCACTATTTTGCATTTGCTTTCTTTTGTCCCTCTTTCCCCGTCCACTGTCTGCCTGCCTGGCTGCTTATGCAGCTGTTGAATAGGCTTCGTTCTCGTTTTAAAGAGGCTCGCCTTGGCAGGTGCCTCTGTGGCACGGGCTTCGGGGAGCGAGTCGTGACGAGACCAATCAGCGTTAATTTTCTCACGGCTAACAATGACCTCAGAGGTAACCCTGCCAATGACCTCCTCACCGCTGAATGCTGCAGTATGGTCAAACCATACAGTATGTACAGCACGTATAGAGTAATTCTGAAAACAGACAGGAAGTGAAGGTGAACACAGAGGACATTTCACTGTAAACAACTGAAGGTGTTTGCGGCAGGATGACAGGATCACAGGGAAAACAACTTGTATCAGCAGCCATAACTGACACTGCCCCAAACCACGGACAGTTCCACAGCAAAGGGGAAACACAGAGGAGTGCAGCAACGAATAATAATTTATAATATAGTGACCTACACTGCTTTGCAATCATTTAACCTGAAACTCATTTTCCTTATATCACAAATTTGCTCGCCTATACAGTAGGTCTTGCAATTTTGAGGAATTTGAAATGAGGCAGTTTTCTTTTAAACGCCGGTATTAAACATGAATTACAGGTTACCCTTACAGTATTGGTAAAAAGGTGACAACCAAAGACTCTGTCAATCTAAGAAAACATAGTTAATAAACATAATAATGAATAATGTCACACAACCAAACCGTACCTTAGACTTAAAAGTGAACATTCAGTATTTAAAACAGAGGCTCTGCTTACAAGTCGTGTGTGAGGTATAAGTGCAGACTAGAGCACAAATATTCAGGGATTAGTTTTCACTTGCAGATGATTGACAGGTGAGAATGAATGGATTAAACAACGATGATGTGATGCAAAGTGCTTTGTGTGCATTCATTTATGCCTGCTCCTTGCCTATTCATCCTGGCTGGGCCTGGGCATTATTTATTAGATAGATAAAGGAAACTTTAGAATGGCAGGATCGTAACATAAACATTTCATCATCTCAACATTTACTTCCATGACAAACTATTTATAAATCATTTTGTTCATAGCAGATGTATTTGGTTTAATGCTATTCTTGCAATGATATATTGTCATAATTTTGATTTGGGTAGTTTTTGAAAAGTATGGATTTCAGTTATTTTTGGCATTACATGATGGGCAGTTTGTAAGCATTTAACACAAGTGTGTTTTAAGTCTTCAAAACTTTAATTAATAACGGTAAAGACAAATGTAAGAAGAGTTTAGTCAGTCACCCATATAGCTAAATCAGTCAATTCCTTATTATATATGAATAAAAAAAAATGTGTGACCATTGCTGAGAAATCTAGATGATCCTTCTCCTTATTCTGATGCTAAATTAGCTAATCTAGAGTCTTAAAAAATTATAATTTGTCACTGAAGTTTGCAGAGGATCTTTTAAACGGGGGAGGTTTGATGTCTCCAAGATAAAATAATGTGGTCTACAGAGTTTACAGTGAGGTGAACCCACCAATGTGAACCCCTCGTTCAATGACTGAGCTGCAAAAATGATGGTCTTTGAATTTCCACTGAAGCTTATGTGAGGCCTAATCAGTCATACATTATAATATATTAGAACCTAAGCCCAACTCTGATTAAGATTTAAACAAAATGATGGTCTTTCTACTCCCAAATGATCCCTGTGTTTTACCCATTAAAATGTTGAACCTGTTGACATACTGAGGATATGAATAAAAACAAACCCACATGCCTTTTTAGTATTGTGACTGTGTAGAGAAAGTTGTAAGGAGAGGGAGATGAGATGAGGCTGTTTCTTGCTGTCTGTTGTTTGATATCCTCCAGTAAGGTTCTTACTGAAAGATCTAAATGAGGCCTGCTCTCTGCTTCCCAGAGAAATCAAAGCGACGGTTTCCACCGACATTGCTCGAGATTTACCACTCGACTGCTGGCGTCATTACCTCTGCTGCTGCTGCTGCTGCTGCTGCTGCTTTTGTTTCCCACAGTGGAGTAACACGTAACTATGGCATGTCCCAGCATGATTTTAATTGCCGGTGGGACTGCGGCCACTTCAGTGGGAGATGAGTTCTGATGGCGTGTTATTGAAATGAAAGGAAGGAGCAGCAGCCATTTACAGAGCGCTGGGTGTAACCCTTTTTGTGCACCTCTTAAAGGGATTTGCCTTGTAAGGCATCCCGAACAAGTTGTCACTGTGTCTCAGGGATGCAGAGAGAAGACTCTATCTGTGCACAAATAGATGTGCAGTGCACTGACGCAGGTGTGACAACACTTCTAGATATTCAGTTTATTTTGTCGACCGAGACAGTTTTTTTTCCTGAAGCTTCCTGTATTAAACTGCATGTGTTAATGTCGGTGAGGAGGATGGAAAACTATGCTTGCACGCTGGTTGAGGTAATTCTGGGCTATCAGTCAAAATAACAGTCAAACTACACAAATTTTTACTCCAACCTGTGACAGCTGTGACTGTGGTTCCCCTCATCACGGCCGGCAGTTTCATTCTAACTCTGGCAGCTGGAGCTCTCTTTCTCTCTTTCTCTATGCCTCTCTGTGTCTTTGCATGGCTTCTTCTGGTTCTCCCTTTGCATCTTTCCTTTTCTCTCTCTCTCTCTCTCTCTCTCTCTCTTTCTCTCTCTCTCTCTCTTACACTTGCTCGTTTTCTATGATAGAGGGGGCTTTATGTTACACTTGCAGAAAAGACTTAAAGGTGTCTCAGTCTCAA